CCTATCAGCTCCCTTCCTGATAAACACTATTGACTCTCTATTACTTCCAGAATAACACATAAACTCCTCTTTGTTATTGAAAAGTTTGTCACAACTTTGCCCCATCCTATCTTTCTAGCTCTAATAGTACTATTAATAATAATGATAAAAGTTAGCATTTACATAGCACTTTAACATTCATAAAACATTTTACAATTATTAACTCGTATGATCCTCACAGTAACCCTGGGAGGTAGGTACTATTATTCTCCACATTTTACAGAAGAGGATTCTGAGGCAGACAGAGGTTAAGTGACTTGCCCAGGGGCACACAACTAGTAAGTGTTTGAGTCTGGATTTGTACTCAGGTCTTCCTGACTCCAGTGGGAGAAAGCCAGGCCTGAAATCAGAAGACTCATCTTCCTGAGTCCAAATTTAGCCTCAGACACTTATTAGCTGTGTGATCCTGGACAAGTCACTTAATCCTGTTTGCCTCAGTTTCCTCATCTGTAAAATGAGCTGGAGAAGGAAATGGCAAGTTATTTCAATATCTTTGCCAAAAAAAACCCAAAACCAACCAAACAAACAAACCCAAATGTTGTCACAAAGAGTCAGATATGACAGAAAGTAGTGAACAACAAAAACTCTTGACTCCAGGCTCTGTGCTCTATCTACTGCACCACCTTTATGCATTTTAATGTAAACTGCCTTTATGTGTTATTACACATTACCCCCTCAAAGTACTCTATGATCCAGCCAAAACTGCTTCTTTATAGCTCTTCACCTATGATGCTTCATCTCTCATCTCGGTGCCTATGTGTGTTTTCTGTTTCTGCAATGCCTGAAGCATATTCTCTCCTATTCTCCACCTCTTGGAGTTTCTGATTTACTTCAAGGCTCAGTTCAAGCACCATTTCTCTTTCTCTCTATCTCTGTCTCTTTTTCTCTCTTTTGCTCTCCATCTTTCTGTCTGTCTCTGATATACACACACATTGGGGCGGTTAGGTGGTGTAGTGGAGAGAGCATCAGGTCTGGAATTAGGAAGGCATGAGTTTAAATCTAACCTCAAACACTTACTAGCTGTGTGGCCCTGGGCAAGTCACTTAACCTTTGTCTGCTTGAGTTCCTTTAACTGCAAAATGAGGCTAATAATAGTACCTACTTTATATAGTAAGTGCTATATAAAGTTAACTATTATAATAGTATATATGTATATATACACATTCATATATATTTGTATGTATATACAGATACACATACATATATATACACAAATATATACATACCTATACACAATATATATATATATATTATACATACTATATATATAGACACACACACACACACACACACACACAAATACATGTGTGTATGTATGCCCATTGTGTCCCACTAGAACGTAAACTTGAGGACTTGAGGGAGGGAACTGTTTTGCTTTTGTCTTTGTATCTCCAAAATATAGCTTAGTACCTGGTACATAGTAGATATTTAATGAATGATATTTAGTAAGTGTTTGTTGATTGATTGATAATGATGCTAAAATCTGCATACTCTGTCTACATCTTCAAAATCTGTGGATTCTGGGACAAATCCTTGCTTGGCTGGTCCTAGTTATGGCTCAGATGTAGATGGACACTCTCTTCACTGAAGCTGCTAAGACTGTGTTCATTGTTGGGGATGAACAACAAGAAGAAATTAGCTTGTCTACATAATTTCATCCTTCTTACTGTGTTAAGCATGGCTAAAATCTGGAAAGTAAAGTATTGGCTTCAGACTGGTCCAGTGGAAAATGTGCTTGCTGAACCAGGAGTCAGAAGTTCAAATCTCAGCACTGCTGTTTACTATCTCTGTGACCTTGGGCAAGTTACTTTCTGGGCCTCAGTTTCCTTCTCTGTAAAATGAGGAGGTTGGACTAGATGTCCTTTCTGATCCATTCCCACTCTAGATCTGTGACAGCCTTATGTCTCAGGAGACCTTTTATAAGCTCAGATCCACAATACTTTGTTAGATAGTCAAAAGAGACCATTTGTCAGTTCTGTATAGGAACTGCTGTCACTGACCTCTGAAAAGCCCACAAAGCACTATTCTGTCATCTGATGTCCATCTTTGCAGCCCACTACTTTTGTGGAATGTTTTAGAAACTCTTTCATGACACACTGAAGGAAGTGACTGGTTTGTAACTAATAGTCCTCCTGGTATTTAATTGTAAGTGGTTGGAATTTAGAGTTTAAGAATTGCTTTGCAGAAGCTGTCAAAGGGCATCCTGTGCCAATCAGAATGATTTGGTCATATGAAAATAGAGCCGCAGCTCATTTATCTGGCCTCCTTGGGCAACAATGCAGTACATGTAAGCAGATAGCCACTCTTACCTTTCTCAATGTTGTTTGGTCTATGTTCATGGAACTTTTTTTGGTGAGGAAACTCTATTAGTTTTATCACACATATCCCTTGACCTCTGAAGCAGCAAAATGGGGGTGCAATTCAGGTCTTCTGAAATCCACGGGTTCAAATCCTATACATTTTATATGAAATCTTTCCTGATTCCTCTAGCTGTTTTGCCTTAAAAATACTTATTGGTGATTGGTGAATGGCTTTTCTTTCCAATAAATAGTGATAGAAAACCTTGGCAAACCACTCCAGAATCTTTGCCAAGAAAACCCCCTAAATGGGGTCACAAAAAGTCAGACATGACTAATCGACTAAACAACAACAAAAATTTGTGTACTACATCATAGAGTTGTTGTGAGGAAAATTCTGTAAAGTTCAAAGTGCTAGAGAAATGATTTGTTTATTAGAACTCTCTCATAAGAATGAATGACTAGGGGCTCTTCTTTGAATAAAGGGAATATACTTGCATATATGTTTTTTTGTAATATCTGTTTCGGTTGTTCAAAGGAGTTTTTTTTTTTTGTTTCCAGCTTGCTTCTTATAGTTGAGGTTGCTAGGTAAGTAGCCTTCTCCTCTCTGTCCTTACCCAGCCACCTCTCCCTTTCCTCCTTCCACTTTCACATTTAAATCATAGTCATCTTTTAAAATCCAACTCAAATGTTACTTCCTTTGTGAAACCTGCCCTAATTCTCTTCCCCCCCTGCCAAGGTAGAAATGGTCTCTCTCATTATCAAATATTCTTAGCGTCTTGTTGGTACGTATTTTACCACCTTTATTCAATTGTAAGTTTCTTGAGGGCAGCTAGGAGTTGCAGTGGATAGAGTGCAGGAGCTGGAGTCAGGAGGACCTGAGTTCAAATCCAGTCTCACACACTTACTAGCTGTGTGACTCTGGGCAAGTCATTTAACCCATTTCCCTCAGTTTCCTCATCTGTAAAATGAGCTGGAGAAAGAAATGGCAAACTACTCCAGTATCTTTGTCAAGTAAACACCAAATGGGGTCACAAAGAGTCTGAAACAACTGAACAACAAAACAACAAAGTTCCTTGAGGGCAGGAACTATGTCTTATTTATCTTTGTATATTTGCCAGCACTTAGGATAGATATTTAGTACCTGTGCTAAGGTACCTACATGATGGATATTTATTAAATGTTTGCTGAAGTTGTATGATGATACTAAAGAACTCCATTTTCTTGATCATATATTGTAACTTAAATGAATATGTTAAATTTTCAGAAGTACATAAATATACATTAAATATTTAATCATTTCTAAAAACAATGGTGGCTGCAGCTTTTAAAAACTTTATTCTTTACTACATAGTTTAATTTTTTTTTATAGAAGACTGATTTTATATATTGCTTACATATCTTCAATATATTCTGTGTAGCTTAAACAATGAATAAATAATACATTTTAACATCTAGAACAAACTAAAAAAATTAAATTCTTGCTAAATGAATGTCAGATGAGTGAGTTTTTACCATAGCATTCTAGGTTCATGCTGCCTCTCTTCATACCTCTGGAGATGGTTATAGTTTGGGTTGAGCCTTTGGTGAGCCAGAAGCTGATATGATTTGAGTAACCCCTGACCTTTGGTTTTGCTCTAGGTCATCTTTGAAAAGAAATTGCCTGGGGGGTGAGTGGGGGGTGGGAATAATGTTTGTAGGGTGTTCTAGGTGATCCTAGGTAGTCAGAATTGGATCCATAATTTGTTGTTATTCCATCGGGTCTCAGATATTGTTTTAATCCTAGAGCTGTGCAATTTCCCTGACCTTTCAAAAAAAGTCCACAAGTCTAGGGATCAGTAGAGACCAGATTAGACCTCTCAGGGCTACTCTGGACTGGAATATCATACTCAAATGTTTCATTATCTAGGAAGCATGGTCAGGTGGAAAAGAAAGTAATAGACTTGGAGTCAGGAGACTTGGGTTCAAATTCCATCTCTGAAATTTACTATGTGAACATGGACAAATCATTTAAAGCCTAGAAGTCTCAGTTTCCTTCTCTATAATATGGGGATGATAATAATATTGGTACCACCTACCTTGCAGGGTTGTTAGGAAAGCACACATAGACATGTGACCTAAGATGATGACTATTATTTTTGTCTTAGAATTCACCTTCTTCCCTTCATTCTGAGTCAGAACTAGATGCTGTAGCACTGGAATTAGAGAGGCAACTGACACACTCTCTCTTGTTATAAAATAATTTACTGTCTTTAATGGGCTAACTTTCCTTACTAGAAAAAGTAGCATAGCATGGTGGGTAGAGCACTGAACATAGAGTCAGAGAGACCTTGGGTTTGAATTCCACCTCAGATACCTACTAGCTATATGACCATAGTTGAAATGTTTAATTTCTCTCAGCCTGTTTCTTCATTTGCAAAATGGAGATAATAATACCTGTAGTAATTATATCACTATGAAGTAATGTACATAAATACAAATGAAATTTATGCATTGTACATACAGCACTTTATAAACCTTCAAGTGCTACATAAATGCCAATTTTTATATTATTATCTCATTTCCCAGGATCCAATTATAGCTGAATATTTTAATCCTCAAAATTCAAATATCTAAGAGTTAAAAGATGAAATCAATTATTGACTTTGATGATTTCTATTGCAGGGAAACAAAAAAAGATGGCCTTTAAAGATGTTTGGCTTTTTTTCCAGACCAAAAGTCAAAGGTATGTTATGTAGATGTTAAAGAATTAGAATGTATTTATTTCCTTAGTTATTTAATGAAATATAAGTGTGTATTAGAATGCTGTTTGAGATGTGATGATATAATAATTATATAGTGATAATATAATTAACTATAAGTGATTTGGTTATTATTCAGTTCAGATTTCATCTCCTGAAACACAGTTACTGTATTCATTCATTCTTTCCCTGCATTCAACAAGTATTGGTTAAATACATAAGGCACCATGCTAGGTGATAGGGTAAGTATGTAATTAAATCTAGATGTGATTTCTGCCCTCAAGTACCTTACAGACAGACACTGAGGTTCATAAGATTATAGAATGTCAGAGTTGGAAGGATTCTTTGAGGTCATCTAGCCAACTCCCTCATTTTATAGATGAGGAAATTGAGGCCCAGAATGGTTAAATGATGTGTGCAAACCCACAAGGTGTAGTAATAGAAGGTGCTCAGGATTTGAAACTAAAGTGTCTAGCTCCAAAACCTTTAGTGTTTCCAAATGATATATATTTAAAGGGATTTTCAAATATTAATCTCCTATATAAATGTTATTTGTTAGTATCATAATTACCATCATCATTATTATAATTTCTTCTTGTGATTGTTATGTTGTAGGCACTTAATACATGCTTGTTGATTGATTAATTGAAGAGGTAGCATGTGTTGGGACTTTTAAGGTTGGAAGGATTTTTAATAGGTAGAGACATTGGGGGGGGGTAGATCTCTTCTATCCATGAGAGAGGTAGTATGGCCCGAAAGAAGAAAGTTGGATGGAATAATATGAGATTGGGGAAAAGTGAACAGTTCTATTTGAATGTGCAAAAGGGAATCCAAAGAAGGTTGGAGTAAGATTGTGGAAGGTCTTGAATGCCCGGCTAAGGAGTTTGCATTTTATTTTGTAAGCAGTAGAGTCATTAAAGATTTTTGAATAGAGGAATGTGATGGTCAAACCTATACATTCTATGTGACATCTTTCCTGATCCCTCTAGCTGCTTCTCCTCAAAAATTTATCTTATATCTGTTACATAGATATAGAGAAATACATAGCTCTCTTTTTCTTTCTCTCTTTATCTATCTGTTTATCTGTATCTATCTATCCATCAATCTATCCATCCATTTCTTCCTTCCTTCCTTCCTTCCTTCCTTCCTTCCTTCCTTCCTTCCTTCCTTCCTTCCTTCCTTCCTCTCTCTCTCTCTGTGTCTCTCTCTGTCTCTGTCTCTCTCTGTCTCTCTCTCTCTCTCTGTAGCTGAGTGAACAGAGAGCTGGTCTCAGAATCAGCAAGACTCAGGTTCAAGTTCTACCTCTGACACATACTGACTGTGTGACCCAGGGCAAGTCTAATAACTTCTCAGTGCTCTAGACATCTTTTTATTTTCATTTTTAGAGTGTGGTTGCCCATTTTATGTTTTTACATTTTTTACATTAAAATTTTATTTTATTTTTCTCAATTACATGTAAACAAATATTTTTAGCATTCTTTAAAAAATTTTTTGAGTTCCATAGTTTCTCATTTCCTCCATCCCTTCCTCCTCCTTGAGAAGGCAAGCAATTTGACATAGATTATACATGTACAGTCATGCAAAACATATGTCTTAGTCATGTTGCAAAAGAAAATGCAGACTAAAAAAAAACCGAGAATAATAAAGTAAAAAAGGTATGCTTCAATCTGCATTCAGATTCCATCAGTTCTTTCTCTGGAGGTAGACAGCATTTTTCATCATGAGTCTTTTAGAATTGTTCTGGATCATTGTATTGCTGCGAATAGCTACATCATTCACAGTTGATCATCATACAATATTGCTGTTACTGTATACAATGGTCTCCTGGTTCTGCTCATTTTACTTTGAATCAGTTCACAAAAATCTTCCTAGGTTTTTCTGAGAGCTTGCTGCCCATCATTTCTTACAGCACAATAGCATTCCATTACAATCATATACCGCATCTCATTCAGCCATTCCTCAATTGATGAGCATCCCCTCAATATCCAATCCTTTGCCACCACAAAAGAGCTGCTATAATATTTTTGTATGTATGGGTCCTTTTGACTTTTGTTTGATCTCTTTGGGGTACAGACCTGGTAGTAGTATTGCTGGGTCAAAGGATATGTACAATTTTATAGCCCCTTGAGCATAGTTCCAAATTACTCTCCAGAATCTTGGCAACTTTTTATAAATTGAAGAGAAGTTGTTGACCTAGATTTGTAGAGAACGTTCTTCATCAAGAGCTCCCTACATGAAAGAAATAATAGGTCCATTCTCTCTCTATATATATATTTTGTCCATATTTTTATGTATCAATTATCTCCTCTGATAGAATGTAAGCTTCTTGAGGTTGGGAACCTTTGTTTTTTTGTCTTTGTATTCTGCCTAACAGAGAGCCTGACTCACAATAGGTACTTAATAAATGGATTAACTGACTTTCACCTTTTCACTTAACTTATTGTCTTTCAGCAAGTTAATAACCCTTGACTGATTCACTTGGCAACTGCCTGTGTATATAGGTGATGACAAAGAGGGAAGAATCAGCTATGACTTCAAGGTTTCCAGCCTGTATGACTGGGAGAATTGAATTGCCATCAAGAGAAACAGGACATTGGGAAGAGAGGCAGGTTTTGGATATGTTGAATGGGATATGCCAGCAGAAATCTAGGGAGAGATGTCCAGCTGGCAGCTGGACCAGAGGCCTAGGGAAGAGGCTGGAGCTGGATATATAGGTTGAGGTGTCATTTGTATAGAAGTGATCATTGATGCCACAGTGGTAGACAAGATCACCAACTGACTGAATATGAAGAGAAATAAACACTATCTAGTCAAACTTTCATTTTACAGATGAATCAGAGGTTCAAAGAGAGGAAATGGTTTCTCCAAGGACATATATCTATTTACCAATACTTGTTTTTTAAAAAATTAATTCCTGTATTTTTATATTTTGAACTTGAATTCATGCCTCTATATATTCCTGTATAGTCTAAATATCTGTGAATGTCTAGATAAATATAGATAAACTGAGAACACATCTACATTCCTGTATAGATTAATAGATTAGGTCTCTGTCAGTATCTTTTGCATTTTGATTATGATATTGTCCTAAGAGCACAATTTGTCTTTTTATAATGAGGTCAATAAGAAGCTAGCCTGTAGGAGACTGACTGTTGACTGCCCAGGGCATATAGCATACTGTATGGATTGTAGCCCCACAATGAAAAAGGGCCAGATAGTTAGATTTTCATTTTTTTGGTCAACAAATATTTGTTATCTGTCTTTTACGTGCAAGGCACTGGCCTTCCATTTCATTAAAATGCCAAGGGTGAATAAGAGGATACCCCTAAAAGAATAATAGATAAATAAAAGTGAGACAGGAGATTCTAGGCTTAGGGGACATTCATAGCAATGGCACAGACTGGAGAGCACAGGGTGTGTTTGAAAGCCTACGGAAGTCATCCACTTTGACCAAAGCCTTGGGAATTATATGGTCAAGTCAAAATCCAAGTAGGAGTTTAAGGAATGCTTGTAATGTATCCCCTTCCACTCCTTATTGCTCTTGTAAACTGAAGCATCTTCAGCACCTTAAAAGGAAACAAGAAACTCTCTTAAACAGAGAAAAGGCAGAAGTGAGAATTGACTCTGGGGAAATGATATTAGGGTCAGCAGCATTTCTCACCTCAGTTTTGGGTGAAAAATCACCCACGAATGGCAGTAAGCCTAATCAGGGTCCCTCCTGGATCCCTGGGTGTTTCAGACTCCAGTCTCTAACTTTCCTTCCTATGTTCAATTCTTAATCTCTTAGCATCCTCCTTCGTTTTTCAGGCTCTAGTCTATGCCTAGGATGGCTGGGGATTCGGACTGCTCATTAATACCCTACTTGGAAGGCCTGTAACTAGTTTTCCACTTGTTACTGTGTAGCTGGGAACACTTTCATCCTTCCATCCTGAGAGAGCCCCTAGCAAGAATATTGGAGAATTAAAAATGAAACCACTTTGATGGCAAGGGAAGTTTATCAAATAATTTCCTAATCAGTATAATGACCTTGAAGCAGTCATCTGGGAAGCTTATCATCTTTGGTGAGCAGTCACATTTCAGCTCCACAGCACCATCTAGTGATGCGAGAATGAGCGTATCGGTACCAAATGAACTTTAGCAGTGGATTATTAGAGTATTAGGACAAGAAGGGACCTTAGAAGTCACCTGATCCAACTGGCCCCATTACTTTATACCTGGGGAAACTAGGGCCCAAAGAGAGAATGACTTAATCAACGTTACAGAGCTAACTGGTGGCAGCATGAAGGCTAGAACCACGGTTGCTTTGATTCTCTGTTCAGGGTTCATTCCACTGGGCCACTCTGCCCTGATCTGGTGGAATACTTCTTGGATACTTCAAAAGAGCTTTGCTTTCCATTTTAGATCAATGCACCTCTGTGCCTTTAGAATACAATTCTAGGTGTCCTTCCTTTTGCTGTTCTCTCATTAGAACTGATTAGAACCATGGCCCAGAGCATGATTCTCAAACTAATCAGATAAGTTAACCTGGCATCATTATATTAGTATATTGTTCCTATAGCACATTATAAAGACAGAGTACTTTGCACATAGCTCATCTGATTCTCACAACACGCCTATGAGGTGGGTGAATACGAGTATTAAAACCTTCATTTTATAGATGAGTCTCACAAAGATAAATTGTCCAAGGGCACACTAGGATGTGCCAGAACTAGGACTATAGTCCAGCTCTTCCCACTCTGGGTCCAGTGCTCTTTCCACAGTGCTTGACAGCATACATATGATCATATATCTCGAAAGGACCTCAGAGACTATCTAATCCAATTCCCTCATTTTTCAGGTGAGGAAACTGAGGCTTATGCAATATAAGTGACTCTTTTCAAGTTTCACAAACCTACTATAAGTAGTAGAGGAGGTATTTGAATCCAGGCCTTCTGACTTCTGGGCTCTTTTCACTGCTTCCCTTAAGGAGTACCTCTTATGCTGTGAATTCCGAGCTTTAGGATT